GCTCTTCTTCACAATTACCCTAACATTAGTATCTATATTCTCCAAACTTTTCTCTAGACATTTCATTTTGTACCTGACAAGAAGAATTTGTTTAACAGTCAAAGCTTCTTAGGTTGGAAATCACTTTATTCTTATGATGTTAATAAATGATTCAGTAATATTACTGTAAGGGGAAACTAGATGCTCGCTGCTCTAAGGGCTTGAAGGTTAAAGAAATCATCTCATATTCTGAGATGACATTGAGGCTCTATATTTGTACCTCCTTTTAGAGTGAGACAGTTCCTCTTTTAACTAATCAAAAGAAATACAAACCAGAAACAAATTAATAAAAGAGCTCATAGAGCAGTTGTTGTAAGTCTTAGTTCCTTGTTTCAAATTCAGCCCAGAAATAAATATCAAAAGAGCATAAAGAGTAGTTGTAATAAGTTTAAGTTCCCTGTTTCAAGTTCAAGGAATTACTCAGTGTCTTTGCTAAGGGAATGCCACTGATCATGCCATTAGTAAAGTAGTCCCTCATATTAACAGTATACCATAGGAAGGAACCTAACAGAGGCTGGTTTCCTTTCTGTTGTTAAAGGTCTTTGAAGGAGAGAGAGGAGTGACATCAGGCAACAATCTGCTTGGAAAATTTGAGCTGTCTGGCATTCCACCAGCCCCACGAGGAGTTCCACAGATTGAAGTGACTTATGACATTGATGCAAATGGAATCTTGAATGTTTCAGCTGTTGACAAGAGCACTGGTCGTGAGAATAAGATCACCATCACCAACGACAAAGGCAGATTGTCCAAGGATGATATTGATCGCATGGTGCGTGAAGCTGAGAAGTACAAAGCTGAAGATGATTTGCAACGTGACAAAGTCCAGGCCAAGAACTCACTGGAGAGTTATGCATACCATATGAAGAGCACAGTGGAAGATGAAAAGGTGTGAACTTACTATGATTTTCAGTTGAGTCAGGGGTGAGATGGAAATTTGGCAACATGTATTGACATTGAAATTGTGTTGTTGCCAAAGGCAATTGGTTCCATTTCCATCAGGTTCAATATGTCATTTGACTTCTTTTGGGGTTTTCACGTTTGATGGTTGGTGGCACACAGCTCTTGAGATTCATTTACCACTGCAAGTAAGGAGGGTTGTCCATGAAAACTCAGTTATTTAATAGTCAAAAGACTTATCACCAATTTTTTTCTGGGCTTCACTCAACTGAAAATTTACCTGAGTAAAATTAATGTAGTATGCATCAACACTTAAGTGTGTACTGATATACTACTTGATCTCAAACACATCATTGGTCTTGCGTCATTTAAAAAATATAGGCATCTGCAGCATGCAAGAATTGTTTTTTTAGCTTGATATGTCAAGATAGAACAATTATTGTTCTTAATGTTTTCATAACTTTCAAAAGAACAAAAATCTTGCATTACTTTACTTAAAGAGAAAAAACACAATTTATCTAAACTTGCACAGGTATTTTGTGGTCTCATGTCTCTTTTATCCAAATACTTCTGAGAAAAAATAAAATGTATCAGTGCCTTGCTTACTGTAGTCTCCTTTGCAGCAGTTGTTTGGTCTTGTCACACAATACCCTCTATTCCTCATTTAGGAAAGAGCCATTGTGTGACGAGACCAAATAACAGTTGTTAAAGAGACTATGCTTACAGTCCTTCCTCTAACAGAAAGAAAACCAATATTATTCATCAACAGTTAGTCACCACAAAAATATAATTCCACATAATTTTACTGAGAAAAGCTGACTGAAACTGTTGTATCTCCGATAGACCCTAACCAAAGATATATTGCAATCTTGTATAAGGGAAAACGCACTGAGCAGGAGGAAAAGATAATATTTCAAAGAGGGCTCCTTGAATGGTTGCTGACTTTCTGGATTTTGCCCTGTGTGTGTGAAATAAGTGACAAAATGCAGGTTGTTTACAAGGAATTGACAAACAATTGGGTCATTTTTGTTGAAAATATCAGTTGAAGTCTGAGATTTTTCCTTTTTAAGTTATTAATGTTTTTTATTTATAATTATTTCTTCAGGTGCGAGATAAGATCTCTGAAGATGACAGGAAAACAATTGTCGACAAGTGCAATGAAACTATTAGCTGGCTTGAAAGCAACCCTGATGCAAGTAAAGATGAATATGATAAGCGACAAAAAGAATTAGAGAGCATTTGTAATCCAGTGATTACAAAGTTATACCAGGGTTCTGGAGGTGCCCCTCCTCCAGGGGCAGGAGGCTTTCCTCAGGGGGGTGGGGCTCCTACCTCTGACTCGGCTAGTTCTGGAGGACCAACCATTGAAGAAGTTGACTGAGGAAAATGTTGCCTGAGGAAGGAGATTTGTTCACTGAACTTTTTTAGATTAAATTGAGTTATTCAGTGTTTCCTGTATGCTTTAAGGTAAAGAGAGCTCAGATTGTTTGAAGTTTAATGTGGTGAAGCTCCAAGAGTAATGCATGAAAAAAGCGGAAAAAGCATTCCTTGAAAACTAGATCAATCCTGTCTCATTTGTACACAAGTTTTGGAAACACCTTGTTTTGATCTCTGGTGGCTTAGTTAGGTATTGTAGCTTCTCTATTTGTTAAGGACCATGACTGAAAACTTTTTGGCCTCAGAGTTAAAGAGCCATTCACTCGGAGTTAGGACTGGAACATTGGGATCCTCTGCTTAGCAGGAGCAATTTTGATATGGATTTTCTGAAAGTTGATTTCACAAGTTTGTAGTGTGTATTTTGTTAAACTGAGTAAGAGGGCGAGAGTTTGTCAGGTGTGTGGAACACCTTAAGTATTCTGACAAATATTAAAACAAGATATGCAGCAAAGAAAAGAGGGGCTCAATCATAACATGCCTTACTTTGTGTTCATGTTTGTTTGTTGTGTGAGGGAGAAGTGGGTGGTGGTGGGGATAGAGATTTTACTTTGGGAGGGTCACAATCAACTAGCTTTGGTAAACGTTGTCTTCCATTTGATTTATTTTTGCATTCTATTTTAACAAAGATGAACCCTTAGTCACCAAAGAATGTATTCCATACCATAAACTGTACTTTTAAGGGTTTTTTTTCTCTCAAGGGATTTACACTGTTGATTAGGTTGTACGTGATCCCCACATACGTGCTATTCCAGCAGTCCAGTTGTTCCCTTGTTCCAACCTTTCCTGAATATTCAATTATTTCTCCCAAACTCCGTCTTAGCAAAGTAGTATTTGGTTTACCTAAAACTGAGACAACACCTAGTCACGTTTTGGAGCTGGAAGTCGACTTCTTTTTGTGCTGATGCACCTCTTGTATAGCTCATAATTTGGTGGAGAACATAGGTGGCAATGATTCCCGAAAATTATGCGTGCCTCTTTATTGGTAAGTTTTACTTTGTTCGACCTAGCCTAGCGACCGTCATTTAAACTTGTGCTGTTACTCGATTGTTGTACGAAACTAGTATGTGACTGATAAACTAGTGACTATCGAAGACTCCCTCATTCTGTAAAGTCGTCGAATCCCGACTTAGATTACTGTTTAACAATCTTTAAGATCATCCATGAACCAAACAGTCGAATTGTTTTAAATCTGAACTACGACGTAGTAGTTTTTTTTTTTTTAGTTTTTTTTTTCTCGAGACGTGAGCTTGGGCCGCCTGTGATCTGAAAACCCTTATGCATGAAGTACGCTCCAGAGTTGCTGTTGGGAATGGGCTTGATAATTTTTGAATTACAGAGTAGTCACTGTCGTAAGATTTTCGTAAGTTTGAGCTTATTTGTCTGAAAGCTTGGCCAATTTTGTTTTAACTTAAAAAAGAGTGAATGTCTTAGTAGGTACACCGAACAACATACGCGCACGACAACGCAAATTTCGAAATCTCATTCAACACGATGAACAATCTTTCCGATGCGCTTTTGTTAAAATTGTCAAATTTGACATAACAAGAATCACCTCTGCAAATTTTTCGTTTGTTATGTTCCCTTAATATGAAAATTACAAATTTAATGACACGAGGAATTAATACTAGCAGCTTGGGTAAGTACCCTTATATTTTTGGGCTTTCAAATTTTACTCCAGCAGTTTGTCGTTCCAGCAGTTCAGTTGTTCCACCGTTCAAACCTTTCCGGAATATTCAATTATCTTACCCAGTCCCCCTCTTAACGAAACAGCTTTTAGTTTCACTAAAACTGAGACAACACCTAGTCACGTTTTGGAGCTGAAAGTCGACTTCTATTTGTGCTGATTCACCTTTAGTACAGCTCATAATTTGTTGTAAAGGGTAGATGGTAGTGCAATGACTCCCGAAAAATATGCGTGTCTCTTTATTGGTAAGTTCTACTTTGTTCGACCTCGCTTATTGACCGTCGTTTAAACTCTGGCCCGGGATCCGATTATTCAGCGAAACTAGTATGTGATTGCTAAACTAGTTACCTTCAAAGACTTCTTTAATTCCGTAGAGTCATCGAATCCCGACTCAGATGACTGTTAAAAACTCTTTAAGGTCATCCATGAAACAAACAGTCGAGTTGTTTTAAATCTGAAAACCCTTATAATAATTTACCTTGAAAAGTTGCAATTAGGGATAGGCTTGATAATTTTCGACTTATAGAGTAATTACTGTGGTAAGGTTAAGCTTATTTGTATGAAAGCTTGGCTCATTTTTTGTTTTAACCTTAAAAGAGTGAATGTCCTAGCAGATACACCGAACAATACTCGCGCACGACGACGTAAATTTTGAAATCTTACTCATCACGATTTACAATCTTTCCCATGCAATATTTCCGCTTATGTCAAAATTATCAAATTTGACATAACAAGCAACATTTCTGAAAATTTTTCGCTTGTTGCGTTTTCCTGAAAATGAAAATCACAAACTTAACGACACAAGGAATTAATACTAGCACCTTGGGTAAGTACCCTAAGATTTTTGGTCCCTCAAAATTTATTATTGTCAGGCGTTTATCATACGATACCAAAGACTAACTAACGGCTGGCGTGTGTCTGACTAAATAAAACATCAAGGTTTTGTTTTAGTTAGATACTCTATTTGCTCAGTCAAGCATCAACCGTCAGTAAGTCCCACATCATTAAAAAGCGAAAATTCTTGTAAGTACACTTACTACCATTCCTGAATAAATGCAGCCTCAAACGAGTACTCTTGATTTGGTAATCTTTGAAAAATTTTAAAGAAGTTGTTGTTCACTCGACTGAATTGTGACAGTTTCTCCAAAGTCCATTAAAAAGAGACCTGCATCTGAGAGTAACAAGATTGTTCAGTACTTACCACAAGTAAATGCTGCATATAAATTTTAACAATAAATTTTGTCAGGTGTCATTTCCGCAAGCATACTGTATTTGTGCATTCAAGAGCTTCTTTTAGAAGCATGTGGGATCAATTGTGAAGGCCAGTCCTGACTAATTGCCTCATCTATGATTCCCTAAATATTGCAATAAGGAGATTTAAGTTCCATAGAAGGGACTTTTGTGGATTTTGTTTCTTGGGATTTTCACTGTTTGTCTAGTTGTACTCCACATACCTATTATCCTTTCCAGCAGTTCAGCTGTTTCACCACTCCAGCCTTTCCTGAATATTTGTGTACTCTACTCAATATCACTTGTATACAAAGCTTTACTTGTTACCATAAAACTGAGACTGGTAGTGTAACTGAAAAAATAACATGGTATGTTCTTGTCCTAAATAGCCCTGAAGTCTTAAGCTTTGATAAAGAGGTTTTAAACAACAAAATAGATTTGTGGCTGGTATGGTAATGTTGAATAATAATTCTTGAGATGTTTGTGCCAGAAAATGTTTAATGTTTTGTTGTAGTTCCAGCCTACAGGTAATGCAGAACAGTTAACCCTATAACTTCCATGAGTGATCAAGACAGAATTTCTCCTTACTATATCACTACAATATCAAGTAGACAAGAGATAAGAATAAAGGAAACTATAAATTAGGGGATTTTTAGTTGATCCAATACCAAATTATAAAAACTAACAATATGAGAATTGCATGGCAGTGAGTAAGGGGAATTACTGATGAGATCTTGGGAATGAAAGGGTTTGTCCCGCATGCAGCAATACATGACTGAGGTATAATAGGAGAGACAAAAGTATCTTGAATATCATTGTCTTTTTTTTATTTTTTCTTCAGATGCAACATGGAAAGACATCATAGCTGCTTTCCGTTGTTCAGCTGTCAATAACAGCTCTCAAGAGAGAAAGCTTATTCAAGGCAAACTTGAAAAACTGTTTGGTGGCTCAGAACAATGGCTTGCATGCCTTTCAATTCGAACTGCTTTAGATGCATTCTTAACTGTTATGAATTTTCCTCATGGATCAGAATTAATTTTCACTGCCATAAATATTCCAGATATGGTATCAGTAGTTGAAAGGCATGGCCTTAAGGTTGTACCAGTGGATTTAGATCTTGATTCACTAGCCCCCAAACCTGAACTTGTTGAACTTGCTGTAACAGATAAAACAGTGGCAATTTTGGCAGCTCACTTGTATGGGAAGTGGATCAATTTAGACAAAGTGTTCCAAGTGGCACATTCACATGGACTATATGTATTGGAAGATTGTGCTGAATCATTTCAAGGCCTGGGAAGAAAAGGCCACAAACTGTCTGATCTGACATTTTTCAGTTTTGGTTCAATCAAACATTACACCTCTTTTGGTGGGGCCATGGTCAGGGTGAAAAACTCACAGATTCTTTCAAAAATGAGAGCAAAGATACACGAATACCCAGTCCAAAACCAGTGGACCTACTTTAAGAAACTTTCTTGTTACTCTCTGTTAATGGCAGCTGTATTAAACAATTCACTGTCCAATTGGTTCTTGGTCAATTTGTTTCATCTAATGGGTTTCAAGTATAAGGAATATTTCATTTCCCTGCTGCGAGCATTTCCTGGTGGTATAAGTTTGGACAAACTTCGTCTTCAACCATCTGCTATGCTTTTGGAATTCATGTTATACCGGCTGAGTAGAGTGAAAAGTAAAGACTTCCGTATGATCAAGTTAAAAGGAGATTTTGTGAGCAGTAATCTGCCAAGTAATGTGTTTGTACCTGGTCAAAGAGCAGACATAAAAAGTTATTGGTTGTTTCCCCTGATAGTGGTAAGTATGCAATGTTATGATGTGTCAGACCCCTTCCCTCTTCCTTTCTCACTTGGATTTAACCCTTTTCACCCTAAGATCAGTATGCATATTCTCCATACTGTTCTCTACATACATTTTGTAGGGTGTTGACAAGGAAAATCTGTCTCACAATCAGAGCTTCTTTTGTTGGTGATCATTTTCTTATTCTCCTGACCTAAATGTATGATTCAGGGGTAATTGTGTAAGGAGGATTTACATGCTTGTCACTCTGGAAATTTTAGTAAAGCAGAAGCAGCATTTTCTGATATTACAGAAGGAAAACTCAGTTGACCATCAGCTTTAAACAGGAGAACATGCTTCTAATTGAAAAAAAAAGGTTTACAAAAAGGTTGTCAATTCTGATGATTCAACTGAACCTTTTCTCCTCTGGGATCTGAATTTCAATTCTCGACACTGTCTATCACACAATTTTTACTACTTTTGCACTGGAAATTTGTTATTTTAGCAAACAATATCATACAGTTGATATTTTTCTTTACATCTCACTGCTGCAAATTGTATTGATATAGAAATAAAAAATTACTTTCTCTTCATTCCTGAGAGTGAAGGGGTTAAGTGGCTAATAAATAGGAAAAGTACAGCCTGCCTGCCTGCCTGCAGAATGTAAACCTAGCCTGTCATTGTTTTTTCTCTTTACATCCTTACATCAATATCCATATTTTCCATACTCTTCTCTAGATATTTTCTTTGTTACTGACAAGGAGAATTTGTCATCAACTCAAAGTTTCTTAGATTGGTGGCCATGTTTTCATTCTAACTCCTAGGAGACATTACTAGTGTATGCTGGTCACAGTTAGGGTTTGAAGGGTTAAAAGTTATTCAGAGAAACTAAATTCAAAAACATAATGCAAAATGTAAAGCAGTCCTTATCTGATTTTTTTTAAGGATGACCCAGATGAAGTTGTTACTGCACTTGAGAAGGAAGGTGTTGAGGCATACAGAGGCGCAACGCAACTTTCCACTGTTTACAGAACAAAGCCTACTGCAGCAGACCAAAAAGACAAGGCTAAGATCAGGCAGGAAAATCAAACGGAAAAGCTCCTCTATTCTTTCTCAACATCTCAACCAGAAGTAGCTGCTGGTTCTGGTTCATCTAAAGGAAATGCTGCCAGCAGATACACTACAGAATTCATTTGCTCTGCACCAGTCAACACTGCAACCACAAAACACACCTTTAGCAAAGAAAAAGATGATGTGCTCTTTCCTCACAATGCCAAATACCTGATTGATCATGTGGTGTACCTGCCAGTGCACAAGAGAGTTTCATTTTGGTATCTTGAACATATATGTAATTCTGTGGAGAAAGTTATGAAAAACCGAGTAGGGGTCAAAATTGCCAATACCAGCAATGTGTTATTTAAGTCCAAGTTGTAGATTTCAGAAAATTTTATTTTATTATTTGAAGATGTACTATATTTCCTTGAATAAGGGCCCATGCTCTACTATTAGCCCTCTGCCCTGAATAAGTGCCCCCCCCCCTCCTGCTCCCTTGAAAGAGTTGGTATTTGTTTCATAATAGTTGTTATGTTTTTATGCAGAGGAGTAAACTTAAATATGAATCAAAGATTGAGCTTTTTATCCATCATGAGATAGATAAGTAGTATCAACAAAATCACTATTAATGAATTATCTGCTATTTTCCAAGGTTTCTTAAAAATTATATTCATGGTAAGAAGTAAGAATTACAAAGGGAATAAGCAAGGATTATTTTAAAATGTTGAGTAATATATGCACCAGAGAGGAGAGACAAAAATGTCCTTTTTCTTATTATTGAAGTACCTCCTCAAAGTACAATGAATTAGTAAGTTTTAGTAATGTTTTCTTCATTGTTTTCCTTTTTTACATTCAGGTTCACAATCCAGTGTTTCCTTTCTTTTAATTATTTATTAGCAAAATGAATCTAATAAACAGAAATCTCAAAATGATTAAAAATAACAATTGCTGTGAAGCCTCAGTACTTTTTTTGCTGTTTGTTGTGATCTCTTCTTGAATGTGACTTTTCCTTCATATCTTACTTTGAAACTTTAGTAGCATCTTTTGTGCTCCTCAAAATTGAATTTTGGCAGCCATTTTGGTAGCCAGTAATTAGTGCTATAGTCACCTGGCAGGAGGTGAGAGATGATGCAATCCTCAACCAATGAGAACACAAGAATCTCTGTAATCACTTGGGCAATTATGTTAATATTGTATAACTATTTTCTGAACAAATTCAGGTTGTTTTTGTGTAATTGCCAGTTACAATAAGAATACTATTAACAGAACAAAGTGCATGAACATCACCACAGAAAGTTCCTGGAATGAACAGAAGTTTACAAAATGCTGAGGGGGTGGGGGGGGGGGGGGAGCAAGGCTCTAAGACCCTGCAGGGGAGCATGTGGGAAAGGATTGCAGCCCAGGTAACAAAAAAATCTAAGTTACAATGCTCCACATTTATTATAAATACAAGAAATCCATACAAGATTGCATCTCAACATTTGGAAAGATACAAGGGAAAGGAAATAATCCTAGCACTCAGATTTGTACTGGGGGTGCCATATGTACAGTTATTATTGTTAATAAAAAGTAAAAGACACTCTGAAGACCAAATTATAAATACAGCCTAGTTTAAAATGTACATCAAAATGGTCTAGAGACACTCGAGGACATGTTTTTGCTAACTGATTTTCTTCCAATGTACAGGATTAAATTTATTTCACAATCTCCCCACACACTATTGGTGTGATCCACCTGTTATCTAGTTGATTTGTTTGCCCTGTTAGGTGGTAGAGCTATCACTCTGCTCCGCAATGTCAAGTTAACCTCTCCACAGTTTGCTTCTGTTAGCAAGTTTAAAATGGAATTTTCAAGAACAGATTCCACCAATGACTCAAACTCTGGCAATCTGAAACACAAAGAGCGGTTATAAAGTGTTCAGTAAGGTTTGTCTTTTAGTTAAAAATGTGTGTTATCTTAGGGCACAGGGGGAGATCTGGAGAAGGGTAGCAGAGTGTGCACATCCCCTCCTCCCCCCGAGATGAATTGCAGCCTTCTAATAATACGATTAGTATTCTGTAAAGAAATTGTCTATTTCATTTGTCAGATATCTCATTCCTTAGTGGAAGCACGCCCCTTCTAAAAAAAAGAAAAATCCTGGATCCACCATAAATATTAGAGGAACTAAATGCAAAAAAAACTATTTGTGTGAGGGAACAATTGTACAAACAAGAGTGATTGTAATTTTCTTGCTGCTAAAATGAACCACAATAAATGATATTCACCTTGAGGATGACAACAAAAGTAACTGTTGTCAAAGTGTCATAAACATAGATGTCAGTACACAAAATAAAAAGAATAAAGTATCAGTTTTGTTCAAATGAGAACTGAGCTCTTGGGTGTGATTTCATAAAAAACTGCAGTAATGAGGGCATACTTTGTCAGGCTGTGATTGCAAAAAAGAAGAACATAGTAATGACAAACCTTCGCACTGCCTGTCTTTGTACAGTGCTTCTTTCATGATCTCTGTCAGCATCTGTCAATCTATCAGCTATGGACAGCGATGACTCTGAATTATGCTGTATAATCTGATGAGTTCTACTCATAACTCTCTCCTCTGTATTTTGATCCACAACAGCCTGTCATAGTACACAAATACAGCAGTTGGTATAATCTGTCTACATGTAAAGTCACCTTCATTGGTGGCTTCATTTATTTAAAGCAACTGTTTATCAGCACCAAAATAAACTGACAGTGTGTTCTTATTTCCAGCTGACTATAATGTCATTATAACAAAAATTGTTTTCCACATGTTACCTGTCTGTTGAAGGGAATTTGTTCCAGGTCACCTCCAAACTCACCATCCACAAGAGATTGGTCAGAACTTTGACTACTGGCTGAGGAGGGCCTGGAGCTGGTGGTGTATTGGGTTTCACAAAGCTGTCTGAAGTAGGGCACAGGTTCCTGGTTGATCTCACTCATCCTCTGATAGAAATTGTCATCATCAAGAAGACCCCTTGAGGAACACACACCCACAAAAAAAAATAAAGCTTTAATACACACTCTTTAAAAGAGGCTGACGTACAATGTACCTAAATATGCACTACATTGCCATATAAAAACCCTTCAATCTAGAAATGGATTAAACAATATTGCTATTAATAACATTATTTAAGGGAGCCCTGATTGAAAAGATTGCACATGTGAGATTTTCTCATACATATCAACATACTGATTTGACAGCATTAGAAGTATATATATATGCAGCATTCCTTTGTATGGCTTATCCCTTCAACTCTTAAGATCTGATTGTTAATTCTGCCCACCAACTGCTACACATTTCCTTGTGAATTTGCCATGAGAATCTGGTGCTAGATCAATACAACAACTTCTACCCCATTCCTGATAAGTTTGCCTTTCTTATTACCTGTTTGCTGGATAATGTATGGATATAATAAGGTGAAATTACATGTTAATCACTTCTGGGAGTTAAAAGGGTTAATCATTGAGCAAACAATTAAAAAAGGGAGCCTTTACCTGAATATAACAGAGAGTACATCCTGGATAATCCCTATCTCATGTCTGGAGCAGGAAACTAAAGCAGACAGCTCTTCTCTCTCTTTGTCACCAGTCCCTTGTGATAATACATAATGTCTGCAAAGATTTAAGTCACTCTAATGAAATCAACATTTCATGTGCTTAGAGACCCCACAAATAACAGCTTCAACATCTACCTTGATTTTCTGTATCAATTTACTTGCCACATCAACCACTACCCTCAACCATCAACTAATTACTCCCTCTGACACTTTCCAAAAAGCAGGAGTCATTCTCTTCTTTTCTCTCTCTCTCTCTCTCCCTTCCTCTCTCTCTCTCTCTCTATTCTCATTCATCATTTCATTTCTCTTCCTCTATCATCGTCCTTGGTGATCAACAATCCTTCCTCAGACTGCCTCTCATGTACATGACTATGAATATCTGCAGCCTTTTTCTAGATAGTGTAACTCTACAACACAAATACAGCTACTCACTGGTCAATCATAAATTTGTTGATTGCAGATGGGAAGTTGCTGTAATACTCTCCAATTGCATGAGTCCTTGCAGTGATTCCCAGATGGAGAAGGAAAGACTCTGGAGGTACAGGTTGGGGGGGTGTTTCTTGTCGATCATAGTTGCTTGTTTTTTTTCTTTTCGTTTCTTTGGGTGAACCAATTGGTGGCAAAGCCTGATATTTTTTCAAATCACCTTCAGAATGAGACACAGGTAGGTGAGGGTGGCTGATGGATTTAAGGTGTGGTCCAGAATGAGGTCTCTTTATATTATCTTCAGTTATTGTAAAAGTGTACTGTTTCTCTTCCTTCATGTTGGTCCAGTCAATCAGGAGCTGGTTGTACTCTGCCATCTCAGTTTCATCTACAATCTAAAATTCCAAAGACCTTAATTGTCAACTAAATAAATGGAAGAGCTTGGATTAAACAATAGCAAAGTAAAAACTGACAAACCTCGCATATTATATCCATATCATAAAGTGATGGTGTGCCACAGGAGAAGAAAGAGACCTAGAAGGTTTAAAGAACAATTAAGCTGAGCCTTGCTTCCTTTGAAAATACGACACAAATACCAAAGAGAGGTCCATACAATAAAATGTAATTCAGTGCATAATTGAAAGACTTAATATAATGAGGCCTATACCTTAAGCAATACATTCTGCTGTGGTTTGAGGAAGCCATGATCAGGTTCTATCATTACCACCTAAGATAAAATTCATTACAAGTTGAGATCAACAGAACCAGAGACAAACTGAACCTCAACCACCTAAACATACAAGATAATGGTAAGTTGAGGAATTTCAATTCAGTGTCGATAGTAATCTGACATAACATTGGTTTTGCTTTACTTCACTCTGTGATTGGTCCAGAAAAGTTGTGCCACCATCTCAACCAATCAGATACAAAACTAAAACCAATCACAACTTGGTTGCTCACATTTCCCCATGCTTGTGACAGTTTGGTGGTTCTAATACTGTCTCATTGTTCTCATTCACTGTAAAGATATTTTCTTTCTCCTGATTGGCCACTGCAATTACTTTGGGTCTAGATTTATGACAATTGAAAGGCGCTCTTTAAGAAATACAATTTTTATCAATTAGAAACTGATTGCTTTGTTTGTTTAGTACCTGGTCTAAAGCTGATACCCATCTGAAGGATATGATATGGTCCTGTGATGTGTTTGTTAGAAAAAACATGCGACGAGACATGGTGTAAAGAGGAACATCACCAAATGGAATGCACTCTACTGACAAATAGGCCAGCTGAAAAAACACAAGTCAAAGTCATTAAATATGATAATACACCTCAATTAATACATAAAAAGTTCATAACTTCATTTTTACCACTTTTGACTTTAAATTCTTGTTAACTCTGAAAGGCTGAAGTCAGAGTGAATCATCAGACATTGAAAGCCAATCAAAGAACCAGCATGTCAAGTAATGATGTCTTTTGATTGACTTGAGACCAATTATGGCTTAAAGCTTGAGGCATAGTACTAGCTGTGGCAAAGACAGTTAAGAATTAACAAGAGGATGGCCTGTAATTTGGTGTTGGCAGTAGCAACACCTTAGCTGAGGTGATACCAACCTGTTTAGGCACCTGGACAACCTGCTTGTCAGGGACTGTGTTACTGGCAACATCCCTGATAGGAAGAGTCTCTCCCATGATACGTTGGTCATATCCCACTCCAGTGAATGTTACCAGAACTGTCTCACCACCAATAATACGCACTGGTATATCAACCTACATGTTAAAGACACACCATTTAATAAGTAAGTGATGGACCAGAGAATCTAAGATTAAAAAATTTTATAAACTTAACTTAAACTTATTAGGAAGAGCTTTAAAGCACAAACATTTCTTAGAAAAAATTTTAGGTCTTGGGAAACTCAAGCCAGTGAGTGGTCTGTAAGGGTCTAGCACTGATAATTAGTACCAGACCCCAGTGCTCAAACCTTCTCCCTGCCTCCAGTCACTGGTCCAAAATCTTCCTCCAGGGAGAGAAATGCTTGTCTTGAAGGGGTAATCAGAATCTACACACAGGCTACCATGAATGACAACTTACCATGTATGTCCTGGCCTCCAATGGAGCAAACTGCCAGTAAATCAGAGCAGCACACCCTGGGGGAATCTCCCCTGATGGATTCAGACATTCAAAGATGCGGCAGCCATAGTTTTGCTTTAAACAAATGAAACATGAAGTCATTAAAAGTTAAAAAAATGTTGGCAACATACCAGAGACTTGATTGGCCGAAATGGATGTCATAAAAAAGAGCCCAGGGTGGGTACCTAGGTCAATTTTTGTTGGGTATGTGCCACTGGCCTCTTAGAACCCCAAGCTACCCCATTATAGTTTATTCTCTGGCTAATTATAGACTCCATCTTAGTCAGTTTTGGACAAAACATTTTTTCAATCCCAACTTAGTCACTTTCTGTTTGTGCATCTACTTTATCAAGCCTTTTAAGTTGTTTTTAATGTACCATTTTTAAATGCCTATTTACTTGAATTTTCTTAGCCTAAAAATCCAGAAAATGTGTGACCCCACTCAAG